GAGGGAGGGAGGGAGAGAGAGAGAGAGAGAGAGAGAGAGAGAGAGAGAGAGAGAGAGAGAGAGAGAGAGAGAGAGAGAGAGAGAGAGAGAGAGAGAGAGAGAGAGATGAGAGGAGAGAAGAAGAGAGAGAGAAAGATAGAACGAGAAGAAGAATAGAAAAAAGAAAGAAGAAAAAAACGAGAGGGAAATGACAATATGAATCTAATCATTACTACATGAACAAAATTGAAAACATCAAAATTTCATTAAACTGTTGATGAAAAAAGTAGGATGCCGCCCTGTTTATGTACACCCACAAAATTAATTATTTAAGTCACAGAGCTGCTAATTTATCATCATTACCTACGTGTATGTGTTCTCAAGCGGAAAATCACATGGAATATATCAACAAGCAAAAAAAAAAAAAAAAAAAAAAAAAATAAATTAATAAAATAAAATGTTCCGTAAATCAATAGAATCTTATATCTATATCGTGTGAAACTGGTGCAGAGTCACTGTAAAAGCATTTTTCTTTGTTTTTTTAAATGGTTTAAGAATGGTCAATATATACACAGTGATAAACAACCTTTCTTTAATATTTATTTATGTTATATTCGATGCTATCTTTGACATTGGGATTGAAATATACATTTACTATCTCAATTTATTAATTTAAAGCATTTTCCTTGTTATTTTAAGTGGTTTAAGAATGGTCAGTATATAAATTGATGTTATATTCGATGCTATCTTTGACATTGAGATTGAATATAAATTGGAAATTTCAATTTATCTCAATTTATTCATTTAAAGCAAAATTGGTGGTTGAAAATAACGATGTAAACTAGACTAAGCCAAACACAGGTTTTGTAAACTATGAAATAATTAATGACTATAGGGCCATAGTGTGTGTGTGTGTGTGTGTGTGCTTGTGTGTGTGTGCGTGTGTGTGAATTTGTGTATGTGTGTGTGTATGTATTTGTGTATATGTGTGTGTATGTGTTTGTGTATATGTGTTTTTGCATGTGTGTGCATGTTTTTGTGCATGCAAGTATGGGTGTTCTGTAAAACAGATATAGTTTTATTTTATCCTATTTTTTTACTTGAAAGAAGACCGCGCTGAGATGTATAAATGTAAATATGAATAAAAAACAATGCTCGGTTATGATTGAAGCTTGAAACATTTTATAAGCTTTGTTGGTGAGTTGTAATTTATTGCGATATAAAACCTCTTTCTATTGTAGAACATGACTAGGGAGACAATGAAGTGATCAAAAGGTTAAAATAAAATATACATGTGGACAGAAATGCGGATACACGGTGCAAAAATGGGGACAGTGACACAGAAAGAGATAGATAGATAGAGAAAGGGAGAGGGAAAGGGAGAGGGGATGGAAAGGATGGAAGGGAGAGGAAGAAGGAGAGAGAAGGGAAAGGGAAAGGGAAAGGGAAAGGGAAAGGGAAAGGGAAAGGGAAAGGGAGAGGGAAAGGGAAGAGAGAGAGAGGGAGAGAGAGAGATAGATAGATAGATAGAGAGAGAGAGAGAGAGAGAGAGAGAGAGAGAGAGAGAGAGAGAGAGAGAGAGAGAGAGAGAGAGAGAGAGAGAGAGAGAGAGAGAGAGAGAGAGAGGAGAGAGATAGATAGAGAGAGAGAGAGAGAGAGAGAGAAGAGAGAGAGAGAGAGAGAGAGAGAGAGAGAGAGAGAGAGAGAGAGAGAGAGAGAGAGAGAGAAGAAAGAAAGAGAGAGAGAAAAGAAAGAAGAGAAGGAAAAAAAGAAAAGAGAGAGAGGAGAAAGAAAGAGAATGAAAAACGCACTCAAATATCCAAAAAGCAAACATCCTCAAAGGCCTCTCTCTTCAGACCAAAAACCAAAAAACAATTTATCTTAAAGTCCCTCGACCTACCTCATTTCTCTGAAAAATCCCTCCTTAGAGATATTTTGCAAAGCTGCTCACTCGCCTTAATCTTGTCGGCGAGAAGGTTTCCTCCCCGCCTCTCAAGACTCTTCCGCGCCCTTCGCCCGGGCGGAGCGGCTCCTTGGGGTCGTCTGGAGATCTGAAGCATCATTTTTTTATGCGGTGAGATGAGGAAGGAGGATCGGTGGAAACTTGGCCATTTAGGCTGTCCAATACACACACACACACACACACACACACACACACACACACACACACCACACACCACACACACACACACACACACACATTATATATAATATATATATATATATATATATATTATATATATATAATGTATATATGTGTGTGTATGTGTGTGTACTTAATTATGCAAACACACACACGCACATACACACACACACACACACACACACACACACACACACACACACACACACACACATATACACACATACACACACAAACACACACACACACACATACACACACATACACACACAAACACACACACACACACCACAACACACACAACAGACATACATATATATACACACACATACGTGTGTGTTTATGCGTGCGTATAAACTTCATATATACTTTTCACAT